CAACAACAACAACAACAACAACAACAACAACAACAACAACAACAACAACAACAGCAGCAACAACAGGAACAAATGAAACAGACGCATCTAAAGCAGCAGCAACAACAGCATCAACAACAGCAAATATGCATACAGGCAAAACGAACAGTTCTTAAACGCTAACTCGCAAAGGTTATAATAATAATATGTATACATGTGTGTAATAATAGATGTTTATCAACACATACATTTCTTAACACCAGCATTCATTACTTAAGTCTCGACCTCCTCTTTCACCAATACCTTCTTTTTTTTGTCTCTGCTCCTAAATTCTCCCATCGACCCCCTTTCCCCATTCTCCTCTCGATTCTCATTTTCCTCCTCCTCCTCCTCCTCCTCCTCCTCCTCCTCCTCCCTCTTATCGTCGTCGTCGCCGTCCTCCTCCTCTTTTTCCTCCTCCTCTTTCTTGTCTTGCTTCTCCCTACCCTCCTGCATTCCTCCACGATTCACCCCCACCTCACTCCTTACCTCATATCCGAGATGAGCATAGTCAAACACTTTGCTGGGTAGAGAGTTCATCCTGGTGAAGTCGTTGGTGTTGACCTGAGAATAGCTGAAGGGTTGGAGAGGTTCCTCCATGATGGCGCCACCACAGCGGGCAGAGTTGAAAGGTTTGCGCCGGAGTTTTTGCAGTTGCTGGGAGGGAATAGACAGAAGACTTTTATATTAAAGGAAATATGAACCGGAGAAATGTTTGCAACAGTTCTTAGCGTGTGCTTAGTGTTAAGAATTACTCCAATGGCACTTTGAACTAATTTCTTGTTGTTGTTGTTGCTGTTGTTGTTATTATTATTGTTGTTTTTACTGTTATTGTTGTTGCTGTGGTTACTGATGTTGTTGTTGCTGTTGTTGTTGTTGTTGTTGTTGTTGTTTTTGTTGTTGTTGTTTTTTTGCTCTTGTGTTTGACTTTATATTAGCGATTCTATGGTTCAGTAGAAAGACTTGTAAATGGGAGATGGTCTTGAAGAAAGTGTCATTTAAAATCTTATATTAATGAATTATTTTATTTACGGTGCTAGTTGTTGATTATTAAGAGGCAGCAATAATATCGGTTACCATAGACCTTTTTCACGATATATCTCTCACTCCTCGCTCTCTCATATTGTAATTCAAAAGGGTCTAGATCTAGTACTCATTTCAAAATTACTGATTAAAAAAAAAAAAACTTCTTTTTGCAATCTTTTGGTTTACCCATCCTCTTTCCAAGTTTCAAATCTTCTTAGCGCTCCCCTGCTAGATTTCAAGGATCGTCAACTGCTGGCTTTTCAACCTGCAGTGCAACTGATGTTTACCGATATATAGGACAATTTTCTAGTTTCAAAAATTATGTTTCTGATTTCTAAGAGTTCTTGTAATATCAAAAACCACGATCAAACGCCCAGTCAGCTTAATATCCTTACCTGCCAGATCGCCCAGATTCTGTCGATGCTGGAATGGTGGATCATAAACAGAGGATCAAATGCAGAGTAATCCAGCGTAGACATTGAGTAGGTGCCATGTCCACCAATAAGACCGTGGATCTCGTTATGGAGAACTTCGTACTGGATCTCAAAGTCACAGAAGTTGTCTTCTTCCAGAGTGCTCAGAGCTAAGTAGTAGAGATAGTTGTAGCCGTTGATCGTGCGGGGGTTGAACAGAGAGTCTTGTATGTCACGGGTGGTGTCCTGAGGAATAGGGAGGTCGAGAGTTTTACACTACGACTTTCAATATCATTATAATGTTTAATTAACGGACATCGAAATTAATACCGAAAATAACTACTTCTTAGAAGTACATTAAAAAAGAACCCAGATACATGAAAGAAACGAGTTCCCAAACAAGAGAAGACAAAAGAAGCCCTTTTCTTAGTTACAGGAAAACAAAACACTTGTTGTTAATGTCCCTATCGAGTTTGCTAAATCTCTGCTATTACAATTCAGCATAATTTAAAAACGAAAGTATTTTGAATTCACCCAAGACTGTTTCTGTTTCGATGTTTAATAGCACACTATAATGATACTTTTCATTGCGCTTTAATGGGTAGTTTTGATTTGCGGAATTGAATTTGAACAAGACATTTTTTGCAATATGAGCGCGCGTAATCATTACAAAATGGCCTAATTCTTACGGTGTTCGAATCTGGGTAGCGACCTAAACAATTTTTTTCCTCTAAAATTGTCTCCTTTCACCTCCTTTCAAGGTCTCTAGTAATGTTCCATCGTCTGCTTTCGTCTCCACTTACTGCCCCCACCCCCTCATCTCCTTTGCCCCCTCCTTTGGGCTTCTGACTCTTCCTGCTGCCTTTCTTACTGCTGCTCCTTGGCCCCTTCTTACTACTGTCTTTCATCCCCACTCCTGGTCTTCTGGTAGGAAAGATCTACACCTAGCCTTCTCGGACAAGGGTGAAAAATCTCGGAAGTCCTCAGTGCAAGTTGCGCACGTTAAAGATCCCTTGGTGGTCTAAAATCAATAAGAGTAGGCTTCGGCCACCACCTAGGTAAAATTAAAACGTTCCTACAACCTGAAAATGTTTAATGTGTTATGCACGCATGATCTTATGTAGTTGCGAGCGCTGTAAAACACTTACAAAAAACAACAAACACACAAACAAACAAACAAACAAACAAACAAAACAAAATCAAAATACAAAATCTGAATTAGTGTCACTTAGTAAAGAAGAAAAATAAATAAAACGTAATTATTCACCTTATTTACAAAAGAGATGTGAGACTTGTAGAACGGGTTGTGATTGCTGCTGTCACCAATCAGAGAAGGCAGGGCATTGATGGGGGCGGTCCAATCCCAGTAGGGCACGCCCACCAGAGCTCCGTGTTCTTTGAGAGATTGTTCGAACTGTACGGTGTGGAGACGGTGCCAGTGAGGGAAGATTGGCATGCCTGGGGACGAAAGGGGGAGGAGCCAAAGGTTTTAAAAGAGTATAGATGTTGGGGGGAGGCTGGACTATTTTCTTATTCTGCAAAATATGACAACAGGACATTGTATTTTCAAGAAGGCCAAGTGTTTTAATCGTTTTCCAAACTTTAAAACGTCCCAGGAATCGAACTTGCGTCTTCTGCGTGCAAGGCAAAGAGCCAAATCATTACACCACAGACTAAAGTATGCTAAAATTTCCCTGATGCGAGGTTCCGTGTCGATCTTAATTGTTGTTCCTGTTAGTTTTTTTTCACCATGTTTTCCTTTGAGAGACAGAATGTTCAGCGATGATTTAGATAATGTTACGTCTTTAAGGGTGTTATTCAACAACATCAGCAACTAACACCGACATTTGCAATAATTCTATCACCACATCTGATTTCAGTTACATAATTACAACAAACAATCTCCAAAGCATGACGTATCAACCATACCGTGAGCACAACAGGCGTATTTGTCTGCTCCTTCTGCCGGGCATTTGAAAGGGGCGCCGTGGTACCCAGCGATGGCCTCGAAGCCGTTGGGGCCCTGGTCTTGCTGCATTTTGTACAGGGCGTCTCTCAGGTTGGACACCTCGGCCAGAGTCAAGTCGTTCACGTCCTTTCTCAGCAGGTTGGCAGAACTCTTGGCAGTCTTGGCGGCAACACGCTCGTAATAACCTTGAAATGGAACAGAAACAGATATTATTTGGTGCTCAGGGTAAGCGCTTTTTAACAGCTGCTTTTGATGAGCTCAGGTAGTGGTGGTTGCTGATCATTATAGTTCGAGGTAAATGTGGAAAATAGTTAGTAATTCTAAAAATGAGTTGCTTGGTATCGCATCATTCCCTCTCGGACAAAATCTAAACAAGCAGTCAAACAAAAATGTCACAATCACCTTTAACTCCACCATTCCCAAGCTTCCCAATAATACTGGTATGGTAACAGGTTTCGCAACTAACGCCATGCATTCGACATTACTTAGAAAAATCAAGTTTTCTCGTAAAAGTTCATCAATACTTAGAAAGCGAGCGAATAAACACAGCGTTGTTGTATATTCAGACAGTTGTTGCATATAGGGCCCCTTTGGAGGGACATTCTCAAATTATAAACTGCTTTGTTGAGATTGCAAATTTGAATCCAGTGCCTCCTTACTACAAGGAGCATCACAAGGAGGGAGACGAGGAGGAAGACATAGGAAACGATGGGAAGACAACATTAAACAATAGACTGGCCAGGGCTGGAGCATCTTACTACGGAAAGTGGAGAACCACGAGGAGTGGAAGAATCTGGTTGTAAAATCTACAGCGGTGCCCCAACGGCCAGCCAGACTATGGGATAGGTGAAGGTGAAGGTGACCCCCCTCCCCCTGGCTAGATCTTTAACGAGTTTTTAAACTACAATTAAAGCATATACTATTTACTGGCATGACTGTAAGTCCGAATTGTTTTCTTACCCTTGACTCCCGGCACAAACTGGACACTGGGAGGTCTGATGAGTCCGGAGTCGAGATGAGTGCCGTTCACAGCCACAATCTCCACCTCGAAGTGGTACACGTCATCAGGGCGCAGGTTCAACTTCATGAACACGTTTGTGACGTCATACTTAAAGAGACGGTCAAAGGCCCATGGCATTTCGATGGCGCCGCCCAGCACGGCAAATGTACCTGTGAAAAGAACAACGAGTGGTCTAAAAAAAATCCATGCAAAGAATTAATTGAAGAAATTATAGTGTATAAAAGGTTTCCATTAAAAATGTGCAAACGAACCTGACCAGGACAACCATCCATTGTCGAGAGAAGAAAATGGGTCATTTTAGACAAACTGTCCTCTTGAACAATACCATACAGACACACACACACACACACACACACACACACACACACACACACACACACACACACACACACACACACACACACACACACACACACACACACACACACACACACACACACACACACACACACACACAAAGGGGGGGGGGAGGAGTGGGAAGTTGTCCTTTGTAAAGGTGGTTGTCTTGAAAAGTTGGCCATTAGAGGTGGTTCGATTGTAAGTGCACAGATAGGTGGCAGGGAAAGACCAGGATAATATAAGTCTTTGGAGGGAATCTGAGCAAAGAAATGGAAGGTGTATCATGATCGCGGATGTCTGTTTTAGACCTGGCAATGTATGATGTTGATAATGTGCCCAGGAAAATATAAAAGGGTGTACAAATGGATGTAGGAGGGAAAGAGGAAAGAGACGAGACATAATTATATGAGGTAGAGAAGAGAGAAGGATTGACAGTGAGTGAGTGAGTGAGTGAGTGAGTGAGTGAGTGAGTGAGTGAGTGAGTGAGTGTGTGTGTGTGTGTGTGTGTGTGTGTGTGTGTGTGTGTGTGTGTGTGCGTGCGTGTGCGTGAGAGAGAGAGAGCGAGAGCGACAGAGAGATAGATAGAGAGAGACAGAGATACAGAGAGAGAGTGAGAGATACAGAAACATGAACAGCCATAAAGATAAACGAAGTGAAAGACGGATAGTAGGGTACGGCAGGGATAGGCCAACAAATAGAGAATAAACACGACAAAACGAAACAAAGCTACCCCCCCAAAAAGAAACCCAACAACAACAACAACAACTACCAGACAACAAAAACATCAAAACACCTCTCCACTCACCACCCCCAAATCGAAAACAAAGCGAAACAAAATAGAAAAGGGAACTGTTTAGCAAAGTCAAAGCAATATGGCCAACCAACCGGCAAAGGTGCACTCGGTCTCGGAGCATAGGTTGAAAATGACGTCAGCACTTCCGCCAAATCCAGCCAACAGGAACTCAGCAAAGATGCGATCTTCTTCCTTTCTCTTTTCCAGCAGGTCGTTGAGCTCAGAGATGGTCAGGCCGTGGAAATTGAGGTTATCGTACTGGTAGTTGAACCTGGACAATGGGACATTTTCAGTGAGACATCGGAACATGTAGGTGTATTTTTGGAACAAAGTAGTGAGGGTTTTGTAGTTAACTTCTTTTCCCAAGAAAAACTTTTGAAAGCAGCACACTGCTCCCCAAAAGAGCGAACTGTTAAGTGGCCTTTCTAGTGGTGAATACAAAGCTCAGTTGTCTTACACGAGTAGAATTGAGTAGTTTTTAAAGTAAAGGAATAGTTAGACAGAGAAAATTAAGGAAAGATGGTGGTGGGGGTACGTCAAGAAGTAAAAATCGATGTGAAGTGTATCAAGAAAGCCATTGAGATGAAGCAAAAGAGAGAGAGAGAAAGAGAGAGAGAGAGAAAGAGAGAGAAAAAGAAAGAGAGAAAGAGAGAAAGAGGGAAAGAGAGAGAGATAAATAGATAGATAGATGAGAGAGAGAGAGAGAGAGAAAGAAAGAGAAAGAGAGAGAGAGAGAGAGAGAGAGAGAGAGAGAGAGAGAGAGGAGAAAATAGAACTGTAGGGAGAGAGATGGCAATAAGAGAAAAAGCAGGTCTTGGGATGTCATAATAAAACGGTTCTCTCTCCCTTGTGAGAGGGATTTTTCAGCTGCCTCAATAGACATTACAATAAAGTAATGTAGCTAATCAAAGGAAACTATAGTGAAGCTGTATAACCTTCACGATTCATAGGATCGGATGAAGCATTAAATTCAAATGCTATCTTATTTAAAAAATACATTTCCGACTTACCATGCCTGTAGAAGTTGTCGACATATGCTGGACATTTCTGCTCAGCCGTTTGTCCAGCGGGCGTCGAGGACCAGCACATGAGACCATCCCATGTGGCATTACAATGGTCATCTGGATTGGAGGTGGGGGGGAGTTGAAGGAGAAGATTAATCTATAATTGACATTTCATGACTTCTATCATGCATGAATAATGTCTACTATTGTGCATATGTGCATGTAACGGTTTCGATTTAATCGGCGCGTGCAGTCCAAAGTTGTCATCGAAAAATTACGAGACTTAAAATACTTCGAGGGAAGCTGTCAAGTTACCTCAGATGTTAAAGTTTTGTACACCTGTTTTTGCTCGCCTCGAGCCATATTGATTACAATTAGTGCTGGGTGATTTTTCCAGGCGTTTGTTCGTCTTTTGGTTCGTACCTCTTAGTCTTATCCACAGACTGGGATAGCTGTAATAATGACTTGGTTGCACCACTTGATACGATGTGCCGATCGGGAGATTAATCAATTCAATTCACCTTTAATCGCTTATTCGAAATGAAGGCATGAGACACAACTTCCTCTTTTGCGGTGGTCATCTGTCAACAGTCTTATCGATTTTGAAAAAAAGCGTATTAATTAAATAACAAAGGAAAACAGTGTCCCTTATGGTATCTGGGGTATCTAGTCCTTTCCTGAAACACTAGTTGAATATAAAAATTAAGCCAGACTTCAGAGAGGGGGTGGACAATAAATAGTCGAAACGAAAAGCAGTTCATAACGTTGTTTCCCATGTCTCACGCACCATTAAGCAGTCGCTCATCTTTGCTTCCATGCTGGAATGTTATTTTGTTTATTCGAATCTCACAACCTGGTCTGTACTGCAGGCATGGGTTAGGCATTCCCTAAATGCAATCTTTTGTTAAACTAGAAACATCTTTACCGACTTTGTTTTTTAATGGCTTTTTGTTATGGATACTTTTCGGTGCCATTGATGTTAAGTAGATTATTTAGGAGATAGGCTGCATTGTTTCTGTTTGGCAGGGCCAAGGTGGGCTTTGGGAGATACGGTATCCAAAGAAAAAGATGAAAACACTCCCTGAAATAAGCTTCCCCAGGCGGGAATTGAACTTACATCTCCTGCCTGAAGGAGTTGATAACCAAAACGGTACACCGCGACGTCGGCGATACGTTTCATTTTGAGTACCAATGTGGATAAACGAAGTGAAGACGGATACACCAACACACAAGTGATCTAATAAAGCTGAGAACAAAAACCGAGTTTCTCTCTGTTCCAGT